GAGGGTGAGCGTTGTTGATGTTGTTGATATTTTTTTTTTTTTATTATTATTTTTTTGCCTCTCCAGATTTGTGTAGGTTGCTATGCGGCATGTTGTTTTCATTTCTTGACTTTTTAAAATAACTGGGTGGATTTAAATTTATCGAACAACCTGTGATCCATATGTCTGTCCGATTAATTTTTTTATGGGATGATGAAAGAGAGAAGAATGTCTATATATAGTGATCTGCTAATGGAATAATATATATGTTCAAAACACCTTTCTGGGGTTACTTTTATTTCCGGACTTTAAAATGCGGTCCGGGTTTTTAGGCATTTGGGTGAGACGCTACTTATTTGATGTAGAAGAATCGCATATTTAGACTTCCTAAAAAAAAAAAAAAAAAAATAAAAGACGTTTAAACTGTTTTCCACCAGGAAGATATTTTCCTGCGCTGCCTTCGAAAATCTCGAGTGACATTTAGGGGGTCGTTATGGCCGTGTTTTGCCATTCACGGTGTGATTTCCGCAAATCTTTTCGAACGTTAAAGCCGGGTTCCATCAGAGAGTAAAATATCCAAAGCGTCCTTTTCTCTTTAAAGGCACGATTTTCTGTAACTTCCCAGCAGGGAACCATAAAAGCGGTCACTAAGGAAAACATAATTATATCTTTATCCGCTTTTCACCCCAGTAAGCCTAGTCGCTTCACCCTAAGGAGACGTGGCGTATAAAACTGCCAGCAGGTAGCTGACGGGGGCTAGTCGATCAAACATTACTAATTAGAGAAAAATTACAGACGCCGGTGAGAACACCGCATGTAAACTCTGTTTCTGTACATCCCAAGCGCACCTTCGTCCCCGTCTCTCTTTCTTGCTCTCCACCGCTGCGGCTGAGCGGGAGGACTGGGGGACGTTGGGGGTGAATTAGCACTTCCAATTTTCCTGTAACAGGGTGCACGGCAAGCCTGCAGCCACTCTGCCTGAGATACACCTTCAAAACAGGCTCGAGAAGAAGGTTAAGCGTGGCTTAAATTTAAAAGAGGCAGGAAAGCCCCCCTCAGCCCCCCTGGCCGCGGCGGGGTTATTACAGCTTCCCGTCCCGCTCTGCCGGGGACCCCCCGGGCCGGGTGCCTCCGCCGCCTCCACGCACGG